CTATGTAGCAAGCACTTGATTAGATATAGAGTTTCATTGATGAACAAGACATAGAGCTAATGCATAGTTCTGTCTGGGTGTCTATGCACTTTCCACAGATAACAAGTATTATTAGATATAGTTTGCACCGTATAGCACTGTCTCCTCCCACACCAGATGTGAGTACAGAGAGAAGTTTTGGACGTTTAATTCCAGACATTTTTCTCTGCACTTACACCTTTGTGGGCATCTTCCAAAATTTCCCCAGTACCAGTATGTTCCGGAGAGTTCCCTCTCATTCTGTCAACCTCATCTTTAATTTATTCTATAGCAGTAACAATTAATAAACATTTATGAGCATTTGAAAAAAAAAAAAAAAAGCTATGGACAACATTGTCAAGTATGAGTATTCCAGAACACTTAATTGTGCTCATGTGGAACCTGTACATAGACCAAGAAGAAGTTTTCAAAGAGAATAAGGGAACACCAAATAGTTGAAAATTAGGAAAGGTGTGCATCAGGGTTGCATTCATTTGCCATATTTATTCAATCTGTATGCTGAGCAAATAATCCAAGAATCTGGATTATATGAAAAAATATATGGCATCAGGATTGGAGGAAGACTCATTAACAACCTGTGATATGCAGATGATACAACCTTGCTTGTTGAAAGCAAAGAAGACTTAAAATACTTACTGATGATCAAAGACCACAGCTTTTGGCATGGGTTGCATCTCAATGTAAAGAAAATAAAAATCCTCACTACTGGACCAACATCCATATAGCTGGAGAAAAGACTGAAGTTATCAAAGACTTCATTTTGCTTGGATCAGCCATCAACACTCATGGAGGCTGCAGTCAAGAAATCAAATGACATATTGCATTAGGCAAATATGCTGCACATCAGACCTCTTACAAATGTTCAAGAGTAAAGATGTCAGTTTGAGGACCATGGTGTCTCTGACTCAAGTCATGGTATTTTCAAAAACTTCATATGCATGCGTAAGTTGACGGTGAATAAGGAATACCATAGAAGAATTGATGCATTTGAGTTTTGGTATTGGAGGAGAATATTGAAAATACCAATCTGTGTTAGATGAAGTACAGCCAGAGTGCTCCTTGGAACCCAGGATGGCCAGACTTCTCTCATACTTAGAACATATTATCAGGAAGTACTAGTCCCTGGTAAAGTCGAGGGTCAGAGAAAAATAGAAATGAAATGAATTGCCACAGTGGCAGCAGCAATCGGCTCAGGTATAGCAATGATTGTGAGGTTGATGCAGAACCAGACAGTGTTTTGTTCTGTTGTGATTAAGATCGCTGTGAGTCAGTACTGACACAAAGGCCCTTAACACCAACATCAAGAAATGGGATCTTTATTTCCTCTCCTTGAATCTAGGTGAGTGTTTTCCTACTTTCAGTGATAAGATAAGGCATTCTGGTTACTTAGTGAGTTACACAGCTGCTAATCACAAGGTGAGCAGTTTGAGTCCACCAGCTGCTTCTTGGGAGAAAGATGAGGCCTTCTGTTCCTATAAAGATTTACAGCCTCGGTAACCCTATACACAATCATGATGAGTCAGACCCGACTCCATGGCACACATCCACCACCAATAAAATAAAGCAGAAGTGCACTCAGTCATTAAAGACCAAGAAACCTTTGTCTGGTTCTCTTGGAACACTCACTCTCAGGATGATCATTCTAAGGAAAGCCATTGTCATGAAAGTCTGACTACTGTGAGACCACCAGATTGAAGAAGTCATGTTTACATGCCCTGGATGACAACCCTGGTTAAGTAGACTTGATGCATTTGAGTTATGATGTTTAAGCTAGCGTCCCTCTAGCTTCCCAAGGTTTCAGAGATGTGAATGAAGGAGTCTTTCTCAAAGTGGAGCTTCCAACTATCTAAGTCACCTTCTGTTGTTCAAGGCACCCCAACTGAAGTTCCAGAATCTTGGAGCAGAAATAAACTATCCCCACTGTGCCCTGACTGAATTCCTAATTCACAGAATTCCTAAGCATAATATAAGGGATTTTTATACCATGTTTTGAGGACAGTTTGTTTAGGGAGCGGTGGCAACTAGAACAGATGGCAAAGTAAAAAGATGGGAAAACCTGATTCTTTGATAGCAGCACAGAGTGGCAAAATTAACCAAGCCTAGAATTGCCTCATCTCTGGGCTTCTTGTTATATGATTCAATTGTTTTAAACCCTTTAGAAATGGGTTTCTTGCTACTAAAATCATCCTTTAAAAACACAGTATGAGACAATTAAAGCACACTAACACGAGCAAAAAATAAGTACTGGAATTGCTCAAAAATTAAAGAATAAGTAACAAGACAACCAATTCAAAGAGTGTCAGAAACTGGAGCTGTGAATTCAATGATACCAACATGCATACATTCCCTCTCTTTCTCACTCCAACATCTCTGATTTTCTCGAGACATCACACTGAGCACTGTATCACTGAGGTACATACATTTTCCAGTGAACATGAGGAGGTTGAGGGAAGTTGAGATAAAACTGGTAGAGTCTATACATCTGTTTAGTGCTATATGGAAGAAGTAATCCAGGCTTCTTGGCTTCCTAAACCTTCCAACTATATGTTTGCTCACCTTTGGTCCCATCTATGACATGTTACATTCTGTGATACCAACAAATGAACCATGAACTAATCTGGGAAAAGCACAGTTGGCAGCCTCCCTGGAGTTCATGGGGAAAAGGGTTGAAAACTGATCGTAGTCTGCTATTATTAAAGTGCAAAAATGTACTTAAAGATTTCAAAATGATTCTTTCAAAAGAGAGAGAGAGAATAACTTAACTCTAGAAATGTAAATAAATTGTAGTATAGTCACAAAAGAAATACTATACAGTGATTAAAAAGAATAAACTTGACAGAGGTCCCCTGAAGCCTAGCCAAGCTCAATTGTCATGAGTGCAATAACTGAGATCCGGATAATGGGAAGAGGCCACCGCCTGCAACTCTGAGGCTTGGGGTGGCCCAGGGCATCAGAGGAGGCACCCAAAGTCCACCACAGAACACTGGGTGCCAAGAAGTCCACTAAGGGGCACCCAGGCCAGAAGACAAGGTGAGGTCTACCTGTTGCCACCTGTTAGGCCCATCTCACAGGGCCACAGCTGGGCTGTACCATATGGTGCTGCCCCACAGCAAGCTTCACCTGATTTTCCACTGTGGGCCCCACCAGTCACCCCATGCCACTGCTCCCTCCCAACTGGGACTCCCAAAATTCCAGCCAAGAAACCTTTATGCCCTGATCAGCTCAACTGTGCAGAACACCCCACAGAATTAGAATTTCATCATCAGTTCATCTGGACATGAAAATGGCTTCAGTGCCAGGGAACTAATGATCCACATGCCAACTGTTAGTGAATGAAGGTCTCACATATTTTGCCAGTTTCCACAGGAAATTGCTCTTCAAATACTAGAAAATGTCAAATATGAAAGCTGCAGCTAATCACTCACCAGTATATAATTTCAA